GAGTTATGCCATCTTGGTAATATGCTGTTTAGAAATAAGTGTTAAAATGGTATTCTAGATGATTTTTATATTGTTTATATTGCTGTGCTTTTATTCATGTAAGCCGCCCCGAGTAGACATTGTCTAGAGCAGTGGTCCCCAACCTTTTAAATGCCAGGGACCAGTTTTGTTGAAGACAATTCTTCCAAGGACCAGAAGGGGTAGGGTCAAGTCAAGGGGGGGTGTCTGCTGGAAACAGGATCTCTCTGAGTCATTTAAGTTCTTCCTCAGGACTTTCTCCTGCCTTTTTCATGGGGATCATCATCATCATCTTAGAACTGTAGAGCTGGAAGGGACCTTATGGGAACATCCAGTCCAGCCCCTGCCAAGGAGGCACAAGTGGGGAATTGAACTCCCAACCTGCAGCTCTGCAGCTCAACACCTAAACTACTGAGCTCTCCAACACCTCATGCCTTCCCCATGTTGTCTTACTTTTACGTTACAAGTATAGCAGGACTGTGGCTTCAGTCAGGTGACAGGAAGTGCAAGACAAAGGGACTCATACATCTCCTCCATAGGCAGCATAAATGTTTCCTTCCCGGAGCGCAATAGTCCTGGAAATTGAGGGGAAGAGCTGGAGGAGCCCCGGTGAGCATGGTGGGGGCTGGGATGGACGGGGAAAGAAAGACCAAAGGAGGAAGGCGGGATTGAGCGGAGAGATTTTTTGGTGCCAGGCCAGCCTGTCCTCCAGCCCTAGAGAAGCCAAAGACTACAATGGAATGGGCTCTATGGTAGAAGGTGGTGTAGGAATGCACATTGCTTCCTGTGCCAGCAACTAAGGAGTTAAACGCACTGAGCTGGGCTTCCTAGAAGGGAAGGGGGAAAGAACCGTGTCATTCCTTGAAAAGAATGCCTTCCTGTTCCTTTTTTTGGCCTCCTGAGGAAACCGGGGGTTGGCTCTTTTTAGGGCCTGCCCTTGTTTTCTGGGGAGCTAGGGACTGTGCACCCACCCACCCAAACCCCACCACCATTGCCCCTGGGGGTGAGTCCATCCTAATGCTTTACAGCCGCGGTCCTCTGCTGGCGTGCGGCAGGCAGTGTGGGTGTGTGGAGGGAGGGGGTTACGCAGGGGTGCACCTGTGTTGGAAGGGGGCGTGGAGGCGGTGGTGCTGGCACTCCAGAGATCGTAGGCATGCCAGCCCAACTGCAGCCCAGAGCACACCAAAGCTGGCAATGTGGCCGCTGCCCTTGCTGCCACCGCCGCTGGCCGGGCAAGATGGCACAAGCCAGCACAGGGTCCTTCCCCACTGTGGCTCCTCCAGCGTGAGGTGGAGGCTCTAGGCTGGCCTCCCAAAGTCTGAGCCCCATCCGCGTTACACCACACTGCATCCCGCGTCCTGCACCCGGCTGCCCATCTGGCTGACGATCGCTGGGCGCATGTGCGCTTTGTGTGCCGGGGCGACCGTCACCACGTGTGCACCACTGCTGCCACCACCATCTGCTTTGATGGGGCTGGGGAGTCAGAGCGAGAGTATTCGGGAGAGTCCTTGGGGCCCAAGGAGGAAGGGAGGTCCGAGGCCCTTGCTCACGGACGGCCATCACCCCTGTTGGCTGCCTGCCCATGGTTTATCCTCGAAGTGGCCGCCCGACACCTGTTGGCTTGCTCGGCTTCCTTCTGATCACCTTGGGCGTATATAAAGGAAGGTGAATGGCGGGAGCCAGCCAGCCAGCCGAGAAGGGGTCATGAGGTGCAGCGCGAGCGCGACACGCTCCTCCGCAAGAGCAGCACGCCCTTCCGGGGGGGTCAGAGATCTGTGTCCGCGGCCCAGTTCCAGGAAGCCCACGGACCGGCACAGGGCCGCGGACCGGGGGTTGTTGACCACCGGTCTAGAGGGTTGAGGTATTAAGTCTAATTATAAATAAATTAAATAAAAAATCGTATTCTTAAAAGCTGGTACACTTTTGTATAGTTTTTTTTCCAGTTGACCTAATAAAGATATAATCTCTGTAAGGATTTTGGAATTTGACATGCATCAGCATGTCTATCCCTGCTTCTGTTTGCCACTTGTCTGAGTTTAGATATGTCACTAAACTGTACCCTGTTGAAACTGGAAGTAAAAGCTTCCCGTTTCCTTAGATACACCCTGGGGGAGGGCAGGAGGCTCATAGACTTGCTCACGTAAAGTCTATATAATTATTCCTACCCTATGTCTAAACTGCAGGAGCTGGGGGAAGAGCTAACTTTAAAAAAAGAGAGTTGTAGATACCTAAATATATCAAACAAGTTGTCATATAATAAAAATATATAATATTGGATTTCCATGTAACAATATTAAAGTAAATCCATAGCAGACCTGATTGGTGCTGGTGTGTATGTGTAGAAGTGTTTCTCCATTCTTGCCATCTGGAAGCATTGTAAAGCCTAGAGTCAGAACTACTGTTTTTCAGAATTCTACTGTTGATCCTTTTAAATGTCAGAGGAATTTCACATTTCCTTTCATTTTCCAGCAGGGACTGGTTCACAGTTTCTCCATGATTCCCCTTCAGATTTCAGTGAAGCCAAGTGTAATTCTCTCAGAACTCTGTCTGTCTGTCTGTCTATCTTTGTGTTTGTGGCATTCGACCTTGTTGCCCCTATTTATTTTGTCCCTCACAAAGGCTCACACGCTTTTCTCTTCTAGCTGGCACCAGTTATTATCCTCCTAATGCCGATTATGTAGATGATACATGTATGCTGCCAAAGCTAAGGTTTATTGAACTTAGGAATCAGAGGTTTGAGTAACAAATATTCGTTTATTGTCAAGTAAATCACAAAGGTAAATCACATATGAACTGTATCAGGTATTACCAAGGATTTGATTATGTATGGGGTTGCAAGTACTTTTATTCCAAACTACTATATACTTTTAATCAATATCTGTCTTATAGTGCTTATAAGTTAATTCCTGCTTGTTCAATATATTTTAACCTTCTCAAGTCTCTCTAACTCTCTCAGCTCAATTCACTAACCCTCTTCTTCTCTCTCCTAAACCCTAACTGCCATTTCACATCCCCAAATGTCTCTCTGACTCTGCCCCTCCTGCCTTATCTTAGGCTCCTCCCTCTTAAGCTTCTGTGATGGACAGGCAGGAATGACGTCACCTGTTGGCATTTTGCCACAGTGCCCCCCCTCTCTCAGAACTCTCTTTAGAAAAAGATAGCTAAACTTTCTGAAGCACTACTGTCTACTGCAGTATTGGGTGAATGTATAATGCTAGTAGACTGATGGCGCTTCTGAGCAAAGCTCAAAGAAAAAAAAATACTTTGTTGCCCTGGATGTACCGTTTCCCCAAAAATAAGACCTAACCTGAAAATAAGCACTAGTATGATTTTTCAGGATGCTCACAAGATAAGCCTTATCCCCAAAATATGCCCCAGTTAAGTGAAACCCTGCCTTCCACCAGGAACTCATTGTGCAGCAACCAGGACTGATTCCGTCTCATCTGTGCGGGCCAGCAGGATCCATACTTTCCCTTTCCCTTTTCCACCTCAACAAGTAATTGCGTTCCCAAAACAAGACAGAAACCATCCGGTCCTGTGGTAGAAAGGGGTTGAGGCCAGTTCACACTGGGGTCCTTAACACCAACATCGCCACTTCCACTCCCCCCTCCCTGGAGGGAGTCACAAGAAATTCAGGCCAGAATGTGGGGTTTGAAGAGTTGTGACGATGTTCAAGAATAAGATGACATGACTGTATTTGAAGAAATGTAGATCGTTGTACATAAAAAAATAAAACATCCCCTGAAAACAACCCCTAATGCATTTTTGAAGCAAAAATTAATATAAGACCCAGTCTTATTTTCAGAGATTTACTGATCAACAAGGAGACGAGTAAACATGTGCAGGCTTCTTGGGACAGGCAACTGAGGAAACACATATTCAGTGACTATGTTGAAATCTCCTCCTGTAGAAAGTTAGAGTATCTGAGAGAAAGCTAATGCCTTGAAGACTGCTGTTTCTTCGTGCAGTGAAGAGTGCATCCAACAAATGACATCCTGTTTTTATTCTGACATTATTCTAGCCTTGTTTACTCATCTATTCAAATATGCATGGACATATAATAGACACAGGTGATGAGGGGCTATGCCTATTCCTCTCATTATGATTTGAATAGAGCTGATGCATTGGGGAACCTATATGTGCAATGAAGGATACTTAGAAATAAATAGTTTCAGATTGTGCTCACATGCATAAATTCTATGCATATTGTCCATTTAAATGTGTAGAGGTTAGGGTTGCAGCCAATGAATGTGTCTTGAATTATCTTTCTCTTTAGATCAATCTTATATCCAAATGTGCTACAGTCGTGCATATATTTGACCAGAGATGAGTTATAGGAAGTGCTTTTTCATCATCCTGAGTGCAGCTTAGTTTGGAACTCTTCAACTATCATTGAATATTTGTTTAGTAATTTATGGAAGATGCAAGGCTGTGTATACACTAACATTCTGCAGGAGCACAGAATGGCATATATAATGCAGAATTCAGTTTCCTGAAAATCTTGTATTTCAAGCTTTCCTTTCCAAAGTGAGTTCCTAATGCTCAGACATTTGATCTACCTGCTGAAAACTCCAGAGGTTACATAGATAATTTAAGATTTCATGTGGTTATCCGAGTGATTTTATTGCTGTGCTTCTGTGCAAGAGTAATAGAAACACAACAAATTATGCCAAATTGTGAATAAAGGTTGTGTATAGTTTTTGTATGTGGATATTTCAGATTTAGTGCAAAGTTTGCAGAGTACACACAAGATATGCGCTGCCTATCAAGAAGTGTGCTGCATGCTTCCTAAATGTTAATGCTAGCATTTTAAAGTACAGTACATCTGGAAAGCTGGCGTGCTCTCATCCATGGGGTCATGAAGAGTTGGACACGACTTAACGACTAAACAACAACAACAACAACATCTGGAGATGTATTGCATCTTTCTCTTTTTGCCAGAAGCATGCATGTGCTTTCTAATCGCTCCTGTTTTCTTTTAGGGTGGCAGGACACAGTGCATACAAGAAGTGTGCCCCATTCTTTCATGTCCCCAGCATCTCAGTCACACTCCGCCTGGAAAGTGCTGCCCAAAATGTTTAGGTGGGTGATTGTTTTCAATGAATATATTGCATGTTTGATATTAATTTCTCAATAATTTGTGGAACCTTTTTTGAAGTTTCAAAACGTGTACTGTGTTGCATTGTCAAATACTGTATAAGCTATAGATGGAAAGGATTTTAAAAGGGAATACTGTTAATAAATATAAAATATAGAAAATAGTATATATTACATTATTGCAGTTTTTGTTATTGTTGTTATTGTAATAATTCATATGTTTGATGTTGTGAAGTTGTGAGAAATACCACACATTTTGAAAAATAAACATGGAATGCCTTTTTGAATGACACTATGAGAATAATGCTTTTGAGACCCTGAGACATTTTGTTATATGAGTGTGACTCTAGAGTAGCGGTTCCCAGCCTTGGGTCCCCAGATGTTCTTTGACTACAACTCTCAGGAATACTAGCCAGAGCAGCTAGTGGTGAAGGATTCTGGGAGTTTTAGTCCAAGAAGATCTGAGGACCTGAGGTTGGGAACCACTGATCTAGAGGGTGTTTGGTTTTTCTTTAAAAACTGATGATCTTCTCTAAGACTGCCAATAGAATGGGTGTAACTCTTTGCCTAGAGCCATGTGGATGAACTCTCTGTACCAAGCAAAACAGTTGGGATGTTTCTTTGGGCTTCTAGATTTCTTTCCCACTTGAAAATTTAATCTGTCAAATTCCTCCATGTGCACAAGCATTCCCCCTGCCCCTAATTTACAGGCATGCTATTTAGTGCTATGAATCCAAGTAATACTTTCAGAATCAATCATTCAGCCTCTTTTGGGGGTGAAGAAGTCCGGATGTCAGGTTAGGATCTAACAAATCCACTCCATCTTTGAATTCAACTCCTACTCACAGGAGTGGATCTTGAGGGGAAAATGTGGCCCATTTACAGCTTGATAAATTATTTATTGGTCATGGAATCCTAAATAAATTCCCCATGTCTTAAAAATATACTTCTTGAAATAATCAGAAGCTCTTATTTACTTGCAGTTGCTGATTATTATCTACAGCATTTATATATTGTGTAAATATTCAAAGAAAACTTCTTCCTTGTGCAGTTACATAATTTCCCACCTCATTACAAGACAACATATCTTCCTATCTTACAAGGAAACATTTCTAATCATTGTTTTTTGTATGAATAATCTTGTGTTACACCCAATAACAGAGCTAAGAATGGATTTTCATAACATTCTTTATATTGTCCTGATTGACATGGTATTTGATGAATCTCCTTCCAATGAGTACTGTAGTTAGCTCCTTGTTTATGACAGCTTTTATTGCCATCTTTATGGACAAAAAGAATCACAACATATAAATGGTCAGAAACATTATTTATCTCATTTAAAAACTTATTCTTACTGACAAAGAAATCAGTATCCAAGAAATCATGGATTTATTGACACAAGCAGTTTAATCCTGAACATAGTTATGTCTGGACTTCTATGTTTTCCTAGAGAACCATGGCACTTTTCTGTGCTTTGAAAAATTTGCACAGCATAACATTTGATCATTTATGCCCCAGGATGAAGTCAAAACTCACTGATTAGTAAAATCTATTATGTATGAAGTGTGTAAAATCAGAGCATGAAAACTGAATGGCAGAAATTATTTAGGTTCCCCAACTGCCCAGTGCTGACATTATTATAGATGCAATTTTCAGAAAGTAAGTCTTGCTTCTTAAAGATGTACCAAAATTGCTTCTGAAAAAACACATTTGATGAAAACCACTCTGGAAGATTTTGTATTCCTTCTGTTGTTTAGATGGAGCCAAATGAACATACAAATAACTTTTTAGGGCTGGGAATCTAGCCATGTGCTGTTTGAAAGGTGCACACTTTTTGTTATTGCAAAGTCCAGCTGCCATATTGCTAGAGATCTGGAGGTCTGTCTCTTGGATTCAGTGGTACATCTGCTTTCTTGCTTCTCCATATACCTGCAATCTAAATGGTGTGACATAAGTGGCTTTGCGGAGGATATGACTGAGCAAGAGGTTTTGTTAGTGAACAAACTAGATACGTAAGTCATTTATGGTTTCCAGCCCTCCCAGACCAATATAATGTGTCTTCATGCAATGTACAGCAGTGCAAAGGTTGTGATGCCCCACATGGGAATTCTGAACATCTTGAACTGATTTTCACAGGATAGTCTTGGTGTTGACTGGGATTTTTCATATCCTGCAAGACTTGGCTGGCATGTCATAAAAGTTATACTGAATTATCTTCTGGGCTGGTGCACATCATCACTTAGTGATTATTGCTTTCTAACTCAAAACATTACATCAAGGAGATTGTTCTGCAGGATGTACTGAGCCATTTGAAAGTTGTGTGCTTGTAAGAATTTGCTTTATCAGTGCAGGTGGAGATTATTTGAATGCTTGTTCACAGCAGATGAGATTTGTTAAAGACACACTGTGTCTAGATGGGAGTGTCCCAATATATGATAACTAAACTACTTACAGGACCTCTTTTTATATCAGATACAAAGGTATGTACTTATTTGTTCGCTTATACTGGTATGCCAGTAAGTAAAATGTATGCATTGCTGCAGTATGTGTAAAGCAAGCATGTAATAACTGTAAATTGTATGCATTATTTGTTTACATATAAAAGCTCAAACATTCCTGCAATTGCTGTGATTCTCATAAAGAGCTCTGCACAGGCAAGGTATGCCTCATGTCTCTTCACAGTTCAGTATTCTAAATCAGCAAAGCACCATGACACTGAGTAGTATGGAGAGTCTCTGCTCCTGACAAGCTCTAAGTTGTTAATCAGAGTTCCCAGAATGTATGATATTGGCCAGAATACTGCTAGATCTTTATGTGTGTGAAAGATTAATTATGAAAGGTGACTAATTGGGGTGCTGGTCTTAATGTCTGATTGTATGCCCAGTCATGCAACTGGGAAAACCCCCAACATGTTCTCAATTCCACAATAAGCCATGGCAACGTCCACAATTTCTTTTGCATGTTCATAAGTACCTGATGGGATTTTGGCTGAAGTTCGTGTTAGCAGATTTTTCAGTTTTTAGACCTTGTCTTACTCCTTACACCTCTTTGTGTGTATTAAGTAAGTACATCAAATAACTTCGTAAAATCATCAGAATTACATTTTCCTAGCTCTGCCACTTCTTTTCTTCTGTTTCATCTGCCCAGTTTCATATTGCTGAGAGAGAAAGAGATTCTGAAATGCCTGTCTGCCTTTATCAACTGGCTTTTATTAAATGTTGGCTCTGATAACTGGATCAGCAATCAGGAAAAAGGAAGTACTTTTTCACAAATTGGCAAATCAACTTATGGAATTCACTGCCAAAATATGTGGTGACAGCAACCAACAGCTTATAGGGCTTTAGAGGGGAAGTGGAAAAATGCCTTGAAGATAAGGCTGTCAGTGACTATGAGTTTCGTCAGGAGAAAATAGCCTACAAATGATACTGAATAAATAAGTAAATAAAAATTCTGCTACCTCAAGACCAACATTCCCTCTAATTTTTCAGAGTGATACATGGGGGCTCCACCCGATGAACACAGGGTTCTGGCCACAACCAGAAGCAAAAGGGTGGAAACACTGGCTCAGCTGCAGACACCCAATGCGATGCTGCACACTCGTGTTCCTGTGTGGCTTAGAGGGAATGTTGCTCAAGACTCAGAGGTAGTTGACAATTCCTGGGTAACAGCAGTGAGAGAGGGTTACTACCCTCATGCAGAGTTTGTGGGGCGGGGGGGGAACTTTTCAATTACAAATATAACCATAGTGGCTGGAGCATTTTGTAGTCCAAAAAAAATGACAATTCCAAATTCTGCATGTAGGAATCTCTAGGTGGATGAGTTATGCTGGGAAGTAGAGTGCTAGATTACAAGAGCCTTTGGTCTAAACCACTGGTTCTTAACCTTGGGTTACTCAGGAGTTTTGGACTGCAACTCCCAGAAGCCTTCACCACCAACTGTGCTGACTGGGGTTTCTGGGAGTTGCAGTTCAAAAACATCCGAGTAACAAAGGTTAAGAACCACTGGTCTAAACAGAGCTTTTTTTTTTTCCTTCTGAAAACCACTGTGGGAGATATTTGCCCTCCTCCTTTGTTCACTCTGGAGGCTTTTCCAGCTTGCAGCCCATTCTCCATTCCTGTGTAAGGGAGCAAGTGCATCTCCTGGGCTTAGATGGGGCAGTGAGAAGGGAGGAAAGGTGGAAAGCAGGGCTGTGTGTTTTTTCTTCCATAATTTGGGGAGAACAGGTTCTCAGGTGGCAATTAAACATCTCTCCACTTTGCCTCACAGATTTCTAGAGACAATATATACATTTATATCTAAACTTCTACATCATTTGGTGGTGGAATATGCCCTTGTGGGCAACCTGTGGATCATCTTGACCTATCAGGCTTTATTATTACTGTGATTTTATGCCTTAGAAGTCACTAGAACAAACAAGCAAAAAAGCCATAATAATTATACCTAAGTAACCATTCACCCTAGAATTATACAATTCCATTCACCTTTTATGTATAGTCTTCCAAGTTACATGCATTTCTTCATTAGTTTGAAATTGTATGTTCAGGAACAATATCGTTATACAGTATAGTGTAACAATGTGTTCTAGAAATCTTCAGGAACCTCAGTGTGGTATTTGTTAGCACTGATGTAACTGCAGTGATACTGCCCTCTTAGACAAGTCACTGCTTCATACTTATTTCCCAAAACTGCAGAATGGAAGTAAACTACATCACCATGTTGCTGTAAGGATATACCAGAGTGTTTCAGCATTGTCATGGCAATAATTGACAGCAGTGGTGGAGAATGTGAGGACAATAATCATAAGGAACTACAGGAGAATTTGTGACAGCTTCAAAACTGTGGAAGACAGTCTTCATGAAAGAAGACTGGGTTCTAAAGAGAAGGATGGTTCACCCAAAGGGGTCGTAGGCTGCCACTTGTCTAAACCACTGATTTTCTTGTTTAGAAAGTATCTCATAAAAGAGAACTGGGAAGAAACTGTGTGCGACTCTGCAATACAGCTACCCACTGGAGTTGCTGGAACAGGACTAAATGCATCTCTCATCTGACTCAGCAATCATAGGTCCATAAACTGCTTGAGAATTCCTCAGCGGATTTACCCATATCATTTTATCATTCAGTGAGCAAAATCTTGTTAGCATAACCCAGATTGGGTGAAGAAAATATTTAATTTCAATTAATGGAAAGCTTCATTTCCCCCCTTTTCGGGTTCTGAAGCTCCTTGGTACTCCCTTTCACTCTTGGGCAACCTTTTGGAGCCTCAGGAGCAGGTGAGGAGCCTCTGAAAGTAAAAAAAAAAAAACATCACTGGATCAATGCTGGCAGTCCTAATTCCAGTGGCAGCAATGAGGAAGCAATTGTTTATTAAGGGCTCCCTCACCCCCATATCCCAAAGCTCCCAAAGGCTTTCCTAGAACAAAAGTGAGCATTAGGTAACCTCTGAACCTGGAAGAAGAGTTGGAGGAGAAAGCTTTCCATTAGTTTAGAGGTTCTTCTTCGTGGCCTGTGTGAATCACACCCTGGGTGATTCACGCCTGCCCGGAGCCTCATCGGAAGATTCTAGAACTTCTGCAGTAGCAATAAACACGGTAGAATATGCCCCTCCCCACCTGTATAAGTACCTTGACACCAAGCATCCCCTTTCAGTTTCTTTCAACCACCGTGTTGAGAGCCTCATAATTGTGCTTCTGTGAGTAAGAGAGAGTTTATTCTTGATTCCTTCCTGTTATCAATCATTTTCTTTTAAACTATTAGATAAAACTCATTATCATCAGAGATTTTTTTTCTTTTCCCTTGTTTGGCCTCTGGCCGCAGCACCCCCTCCTTTCAATCATTGTTTTTTCTCCTCAATTATTTCTCCTATTCATGGCCCCTTTGGGCCCATTTAAGCACTGTGTTGTCTGTGATAATAACATCCCACTTTCCGACAGACATGCTAAGTGCCTTTTCTGTTTGGGAGAACAACAACAAACTTCCTCCTGTACCCATTGCAAAAATTTTAAGCTTGGAGTTCTTTGATCTTGCCTCTCAAGGCTAAAACTCCGACTTTGGGAACAATCCTTACAACCAGTTCAAATGGTCCAACCTCCCTGTAAGGGCCACTTCCCAAACCAAAGTGATGAAAAAAGCCGCTACTGAATCAACGTCCATCGGCTACACCAGCTCTTTCCGATTCTCCATCTGCATCGTTTAAGATCTCAAAGACACACAAATCAAAGTCCTCAATACTGAAGTCCTTGACATCAAAAACAACTTCTAAACATCAGAGACCTACTGAAGCTGTTCCAGCTCCATAGTCAGCTCCTCCTAAATGAGCTAAACAGTCTAAGCCTACAGACATCCCAGCACAACCACAACAACTCTCTGAATCAATTTCAATCGGATCTCCCTCAGATGATGACAGACTTCCATCCCATCAACCCTGTTCTCAGTCTCCAGAATGGGATGATAGAGTCGACCGACTAACATCCTTTCCTCCCAGTCCAGAACGTTCTATTCCTTCCAGAATCCTTCGGTTATTCCATTGCCCGAGGACCCCCATCCCGAATAGCTCGACATCGTTCCATATTCGATGCCCTCAGATCGTCCACCAACCCCCAGCCAGAACCATTGACATCAACAATCTCGACAGCTCACTTCATTGCATGTGGTTCAAACTCATGCTCAGCACGCGCATTGGGTTGCCATTTGCCCTGACCAGTGCTCTGCTCGACAAACTCCACCGACTAGTTGACCAGGTGTTTTACCCAGTTCGATAATACCATCTAGCAGTCAGCTTACCTCTTGACAACCATCAGTGTCAAAGTGGCCACATCACTGAGATGTTGCTATACTTCAACCTACTCCCCACTTGGTATCGAAAAAACCTTGAACGGTTGAGCAAATTTCATCCACACATGAGGCTTTGCAGCCCCAGCCTCCCAATACTTTCCTACTACAATAGATGACGGAAACCACTCTTCATGCCCGGCACTGCCAGCTTCCATTTATTCTACAGCTATGCCATTGCATGAGCAACCTCCATTTTGACATCACAGAGACACAAGCTCTGATATTGACGATCCTCAATATTCATCCTGGTCCATGGACAGGGACCATTCCGTTACATCAACACAGTTCCAGTCCTCCAGTAAATTCAAGTCATTGAGCCCTACAACACCATGCTCGACACCGAGGTCCATCCCTACCAATCGAGGTCTGTCGATGCTCAACCACTATCTTTCAATGTCGACGATTCTCAACATCAACAGATGTCCATGGACATGCCGCCTTCATCTTTTTCAACTCATAACTGGCAATACTATAAAGCTCAGCCTATCAACACCAAAGTCGATCGACAGTCCGTCAACTCCAGATGAGACCTCGATGGCTCTGACCGTGGATCTCGGTCGCGGACTCCATCAGTATTACTTACCTTTCCAGAGTCGGACATTGTCTATACCAACCCACTGTCACCAGCAGAGGATTTCCAGACCTATGCCCAACTTATGATTCACATGGCTAAATCCCTTGATCTGCAAATCCACTGACCATTGACGGAACCAGCCAATCATCTATATGATCTAATCTGTAAAAATACAACCGCTCCGGATACATATCAATGTTGCCATCTCTCCTTAGTACTGCACAGAGATCCTGGACAAAACCAGCTTCCTCCCATACCATGTCTAAACAGATTGATAACCTCTATAGAATCCATGACCCAGGAGCCATTTTCCTCCAGAAATGCCCAGCTCCAAATTCTATTTTTGTCGAAGCTTCTCAATCGAGATCTCGACACCAACAGTCACTTATATGACCAAAGAAGGACAGCCAACGAATAGACTCCATGGGTAGATGGCTTTACTCTTCTGCAGCCTTCATCATGTGAATTGCTAATTATCAAGGAGCCATGGGAGTTTACCAATTCTTCCTCTGGGACATGTCCACCTTTATTGAATTTCTGCCAGAGGACAAAAAGATACTAGCTCAAACCGTCCAACAAGAAGGTCTCTCCGTTGCTAAACAACAGATGCTTTCCACCCGCCACACTGTAGATGCTACAGCCAAGTCTATGGCCACTTCAGTAGCCCTACGCCATTTTTCCTGGCTCAAAATTGAAATAATTGAAATAATATCAGCTGTGGGTCCTGATGGCAATTTTTTAGAGTATATATTTTAATTGCATTTTAATTGTTTTGTCTTTTTATTGTATGGTATGTGACTCACAGGGTCCACTTGAAGAACTACAATTAAAGGTGGGTAACCTGCCATTTCTGGCACCTGATCTGGGTTACACCAGTGCAAAGTTATGCAACAGGATTTTTCTGTCTGTCTTTCATAGGTGTCTATTAATGCTTCAAGTCACTACAGTGTATTAAAGGGGGCAGGTGGAAAGGATCTATTAAAAAAATTAAACAGAATGATGCAGTCAGCAGTGGTCTGCTTTTTTTCTTTTTCTTTTTGACAGTAAACACAGTTTAACATTGTTGGGAACACAGCTTCCTTTCAATCACCTATTGTTTCTCTTCTTATTATGTATATCTAGGACAGAGGAAAGTGTTTGATCTTCCATCTGGAAGCTGCCTCTTTCACAGTGATGTTTATGACAATGGAGCCTCCTTTGTGTACGACAACTGTACTAAATGTACCTGCAGGGTGAGTCAATAACAACTTGTCTCCTTGTCATTTTCATGATTCAGAAACTGAAATGGTTGCTTCCGCTGGTTTGCATCATACCTCATAGTTAAGGAAACAGTGCCTTTGCAGGAGTGAGAAACTATGCTTTGAAGTTGGAGCTGCAGCACATTGCTGTTGGACATTTGCATGTCTCCATTTGCATAGAGCTTTTCTATGTTGCCATTGTCTCCCCTTTCTCAGCCAGCCATAAGTTTTTAAATTCAGAAATATGCAACCACAGTTCCACCAGTGACTGTGTGTCTCCAGTGGCAACAGAGGTGGAGATAGAGTCCCTGTTATGCTCCCTTCTTATTTTGTCCACTCTGCTGCTTCTTCACCCATGAAGTCATGTGCTACACTCAGGTGTTACTTCACTTCCTCTCACACATTATCCATTTAATCTCCTTCCATCCCTGCCTCCCTCGCAACCTCTCTCTTTCTCTGTTACATAGCCACTTGTAGCAGAAACATCATGTCTCTTTTGCATGCCTTATGTCTTCCAAGAACATCAAGTGCCTTACTGAGTGTCCTCTAAAATCTTTGACTCAATACCTGGTAGCAGTGGATTGGCTGAAGAACCCAAGCAATACCAAAGCTGGTAATAATAATGGGTTGGTCTCTTTTGCCATCACAGTGGTGCTCCACTGGCAGAGGAACATCAGTTGTATATGACAGAACAAACATAAAGAGTGTGAAGTGGATGTATCAGGGCATTTCGTGTAGCCTTTATAATTAAAAATTGTAAACCGCCCGGAGAGTGCTTGTAGCGCTATGGGGCGGTATATAAATCCAATAAATAAATAAATAAATAAATAAATCAGGGCATTTTCCCCCACCTTTCTAGTGAGATTTTGACCAACCAACCTGTAAAATATAGGGTAGAAAGCAAATAAACAAATTGGTGGTTAAGAATGGAACTTTTGGGTTAACCCAAATGAAAAAAAAAACATAGAAGAGACACTTTTTTTCAGTACAGTGGACCCTCTACTTACGGAATTAATCCGTATTGGAACGGTGGCTGCAAGTCAAAAAGTCTGTAGGTCGAATCTCCATTGACCTCCAATGCATTGAAAACCGATTAATCCCATAACTGGCGGTTTTTATTCTATTTTTGTTCCATTTTGGTTTTTTTCTGGTCTGTAGGTCGAATCTCCGGCTGCAAGTCGAATCTAAATTTTGCGGCCAGAGAAGTCTGTAACTCGAAAAGTCTGTAAGTCGAGGGTCCAGTGTATTAGATTCTTTTGGTAGGTTTCAATAGAGAGCTTCTGCTGTTCAGTGCTTTACATTTTCTGAATGAGAGAGAGTCTGAAATAATCAGATTTTTATCAGATTTCTTCCATTGGATTTCTTCTTTTGGACCTATTTACGTATGTAAAGTTGACTTATACTATTCCAACAAATAGCCTTTCTGCCTGTCATACTTCTCCTCACTGCCGCTGTCACCACACACCTCTTGGCCCTGCAAGCCCCAGTTGTTGCCTTCTCCTTTCACCTCACTGTCACCACCATTCTGTCAGATCTGCTCTTCACCCTCTGCTTCCCTGCCACCACCACTACTACACACCTCTTGACCCCACTAGTCATGGCCCTTCACTGCCTTCTTATGCCCCCCCCGGCTGACTCGGTGTGCCTTATGGCCCCACCTGCCCCACGCTTTCCCTTCCCTCATCTAGCCTTGCTGCTTGTGCTAAGTTCTTTGAGATGAGTACCAGAACTCCAAATAGGGAAACTTTTACTGGAAGAATCTAAAAAAGTTGGGTACTTTCAGTTTTACTGAAAGGGCTGGTACCCAAATGACCTGAAAACTAATGAGGCACCCCCCCACCAAAAAAATTAAATGATGAAATCCAAATTTTTTCCCTGTGTACAACTCTATGTATGGCAAAGAAGACAAACAAACCTGGCCTATGCTCAGATCTGAAAGGAAATGATTGTAAAACATGGTGTATGTAAGGGTAATATAAAAACACTCTTTGAAATACAGTATTATTTTATTCAAATCCTCTGCAGTAACAGGAAAATGCTCTATGGAACGTTATTTCATTTGAATCCTTTGTGAAAGTCCAGTATATGTTGACAAAGCCAAGTTGTATGAATTGGCAACCACCAAGCGCAGGGTGGGCCACTTTACCCTGCCGCTGTGGGATGAGTCCCCTTTGTTTGGGTAGAAACTGCCAGTAACTGAGCGCATCCAATAGCTGCTAAGTGGAGTGACGATTACTGTCATCACCCACCTGGAATCTCTTCTGTCCTTCTTTCTATGCAGGATTCTACTGTGGTGTGTAAAAGGAAGTGCTCACCACCTAGAGACTGCCTCAGAGCTAAAGGGCAGTGCTGCAAGGATTGCATCTCCTACATGTCCCCTGAGGAAACAAGAGTGTGCAAGTTTGGGAACAAGCTCTTCTGGGTAAATGTCCACACAAGCTGTACTGTAGTACTTCCACGTATTACCATGCATTTCAAGCTGTGATTTTATTTCTTAGCCAGAAATGATTCAGAGAGGGCCCCTCACCCCACATAAGGCATGTGGATACAACGTGGTTGTATTGGGCAGTCTGACAGCCTTGTAGGATGACTCTCTGTAGGCAGACAACCAAGCTGCTGACCCTTTCTGTAATGTGCATAGGAAAATGTGATTCATGTGCTCCAGCAGATTTCTGATAGCCAAGGACAAGGTATTTCTCTGTGGTCTCCAGATGACAACTCAGCCAAAAGGGAACCCCTCCTCCCACCCCCACCCCCACGCAAGCCAATAGGAGCTTAATTAGCTTTTCTGGATACAATTCAGTACGCACTTGTAAGTACAGACAGTGCTTCATGGATTGGGAAGCCGTGTGGTCATAATCCCCTCCTGCCCTCCTCCCACACAAGGTCATTGGGGATTCCCTCCAAAACACTTCCCATATTATTGGGAGCTTGTTTGTTTTTTCAAGTGGCGCAGGGTTTCTCCCCCCCCTTCTGCAGCTCTCAGTTGGAAGTGTTTTCTGTTCACTGTATGGACCATCTGTGTGCTGAGAGATCCTGGGATCAGATGAAAAGTTAAACCCCTTGTGCACACGGTATTTTTCCAGCCAACGCTCTTTCCATTAATTTGCATTTTTCCTTTGCACAAAGCTGCAGTATTATGCGCCTCCTGAAAATCTTGTTTACAATAAATTAAAAGTGACTAGTCTTTATTTACTTAGCACTCAAACACATAAGAAGCCTTACACATCCAATCAATTGTCTTCTCCTTTACTCTGCCTGTGTATGTGTGTATGGGTGTTCATGTGCTTAGTATGAGAAACAGAGAGACACATTCACTGTCATTTTGTGTTGATGAAATGCAAAGAACTACTTTAGGTGCATTCAGGATCTTGCCATTTTGAAACACTCCTGTGTTTCAGAGCTTGTGATGAGCTGGGGCTGCTGATTAAGAGATACATATTTGAAACACTCTCTGCCCCACAGAATAGATCAGACATCTTTGGATCCAGGCAATTATTCCACAGAACAGCACAACACAATGATAATTTTTAAAAATTGGCTTTGAGTCATGATTTTGACCATCTTCTTCCAGATGTTTACAAGAAACTAGGCAAGGACTATGTGTCCCATCATCATCATCATTATTTTCTAAAGCTGCCACTGTAAGTCTTCTTACTGGGGGGAACCTCATGAAGTATAGTGGGACTTATTTCTTTCTCAATAAACATGCAAAGGATTCAAACCACTTCACTCTTAGTTGTCATCTCTCCCACCTGATCACATTGGTCCTTAAGCTGTTTACTGTGTTTTGTGGAAGATACCATTTTTTCCTTATTTTTTCCTCTTTAAAACTTGCTTATCCCTGTTCAGGCCTGCTGTTGATTAATGTTACCAGATGTGTGCTGATGGTTTTGAGATCTTTTGCCATTTTTTAAACACCAGAATGAGAATTAGAGTCCCCATATGAAATTACGCTGGGAGTTTGGGAGGGTCACTTTTAATTTAACATTTCCCAGTGTCTTCCTATCTACCAGTATCTTTGAATCATCTTTATGCTGAAGGATATTTGCATCTATCAAAATGCTGCCCTGTTCTCCAACATACAGATAGTAGCAGTTTTGCACTATCAGAGAGAAAAGTTGTGTGTCAATTTATTTACTCTTTCCCTCCCTCTCTTTCTCTCCCAAGATGTTTGTTTGTGTGTTTTTTAGACTCTGCCATTTAACTGCTTGATTGTACCACTGAAAATCTCCTTTATTACTATACTGTGACCCTTAGACCTAGTCACTATCTTTGTTCCTTGTATTATAAAAAAAGTAATGTAGGGAGCCAGAAGTAGCTGCACCATGAGGACAGATAAGGCAGCCACTTGTGGTAAAAAGCAGACATTGGTCCGGATCCAATTGTTGTTTGCGTAAGGTTTGCACAACAGGTCACAGCTGTTTGGGGCTAATTAACAAGGTGTTGGAGTGCATCTCCTTTGCATAGTCTGGTGTACAACCAAGATGTGTCCTGGCGCCTTCTCAGTTACTTGCAATTGGGTGTACCAGTTTGCACAGACCTTACGAAAATACCAATAGGCTTCTGGTGGATGTCTGCTTCTTACCACTTATTCACAGGTGTGTCGCTTTTGGGGTCTAAGGCAGAAAACTGTAGTGGAAACCTACTCCCCTTTTAATTCACAAGAACTGCAATCCTCTGAGGTTGTTCTCCAGGTCACTTACTCAGTGTTCCACCTTATGATGGATTTCAGAGGAGAGGTTTTCAGTGGAGTTTGATCAGAGTTGATACCCAAGACTGAGTCAACCACAGGTGGCTCTCTTGTCTTTCCTCATGGTGCAGCTATTTCTGGCTCTTTACCTTTTTTAATATGAAAAAGTTGTACAATCAAGGAGTTAAATGATTAAAAATAATAAGTAACAGTGCAATGGTTTAAATCCTATACAGTGGTGCCTCGACTTACAAACGTCTCTACTTATGAACATTTCGAGTTACGACCAGCTCTGGCCGCAAAATTTGGCTTCTACTTGCAACCGGAGCTTCCACTTACGAACAGAAAAAGGCAGGGAAAAAAGGCAGGAAATTCAAATTGCTAACTATAGGTGGCAACGAAGCTGCTTCTTTGTAGCTCTCTTGCCCCAGCAGTTAGAGCGTGTTTGTGCTGGAGGAGGCTTGGGACTGCCTCGCTTCTGCTTCTGAGCAAACGTGTGTGTGTTTGCAGCAAGGCTTTGGGCTGCCTGGTAAGGTAAGGTGCTGTTTAAAAAACTATTCTGAGCGTTTTTGCAGTGTGGCTTTGAGCTGGGGGAGTTATGTTTCTGTGCTGTGATGGGTCTTGGGTGGATTTGTTGGTTTTTTTCCCCCCAACCCCCCATTTCCAATGATCTTGGGGAGTTTTGTTGCTTTTTGGAGTGTTTCCCCCCATTTCTGATGAGTCTTGGGGGGTTTGGTTGCTTTTTGGCTCCCCCCCATTTCCAACGGGTCTTGGTTGCTTTTGGGTTTCCCCCCCATTTCCAATGGGTCTTCGGGGGGTTGATTGTTTTTTGGCTCCCCCCTATTCCCGATGGGTCTTGGGGGGTTTGGTTGCTTTTGAGGGTTCCCCCCATTTCCAATGGGTCCTGCATGCTTCCCTTGCTTTTTCCTTTGTTTTCTTTGCATTTCCGACCTGCTCCCTTTGTTTTCTGTGCATTCCCAATCTGCTTCATTTGTTTTCTGTGCATTTCCAATGGGTCTTGCATGCTTTTCTCCTCCCCCCCCGGCCAGAAAAGATGAATCATGTTTCCAATGAGTCTTGCAGTGATTTTTTTTTGGGGGGGGGTGATTTTTTTTATTTCGCCGGAACAGATTAATTGCATTTCAATGCATTCCTATGGGAAATGGTGCTTCAATTTATGACCATTTTGAGTTACGTCCATGTTCTGGAACAGATTATGGTCGTAAGTCAAGGCACCACTGTAGATGTTTGTGAAGAAAGAAAGAAGTCCTATTATGCTACATGGGGCTTCTTCCCCCACAAGCAAATTTAGTCTTCGAAAATAATAGTGGTGGGTCACACAGTAAGTACACTTGATGGTGCAATTGAGGTATGCCTCATCACCTTATCAATTAGCCACAAGTAGCTGTGACTCACTGCACAAACTTTACACAAATACAAATAGGATTCTGGCCAATGCCTCTAAACTTCTGGGGTGAATAACTGTGACCCTCTAGATTTTTTAAATTTTGCCTACAAGTCTCCCATCAGCCCTAGACAGCAAGGCAAATGGGGTAGAATCATGGCAGCTGTAGTCCAAATAAGTATGTAGGCTAAGACACTCTTTTTAGTCTAGAACAAGAAAGTTTACAAGCATTTGTTATATCCTGAAACCTTTCCCTGAAATATCTGTTGCATTCTATAGTGCACAGATCCGTAATACTCTACTCCCATGTTGTTAATGCTTTATTACTATCTGTTCCACTTTCATTTCACTCCAATATATCAAAAGCTTCCATATGGTGTGTATAAAAGAATTAGTTTGGACTACTGTTGGATTACAGAGTAACTGAGGAACATCACTTGGTATGTGCAGTCTGTAAGGAAGTGAGTAAAAGCATTAGTAAAGCAGTGCTTTGGAGTCATAGAACCTTTTAAAGGGTGTGATGGTGGGTACAATCAAATATAGCTGTACCTACTAGAATTTAGCTAATTTTGATTCTGTATCCATTCTAAACATTTTCAGATGTTCAGTAGATCAGATGTCTGCCTTAGTACTGTAAGTAATAAAAAACTGAATTTACTATTAAGTATATTCCTGGATTAAAGCAAAGTGATGCCACATCTGGGAATAAATTTGCTGTGTCTTGACATCTTAATCAAATACTTTCACGTGCAGTAATTTAAACATGCCAATCACAGTGGCTGTATTGAGTCAGATTTTTCTAATTATATCATCCAAAATGAGACAATCATGATACTTAGCAATTGCAACTTGAATGTTTTTCAGTACAATACACAACTAATTAGGATACATGATAAAAAAAGAGAACTCTAATGTATCTTTGTTCAATATGGAATAATAGCCCTTTGTCTGGAAGGACCAGAATGAAAAATGGTAAGTTTCCATCCTTAATCCATCTGGGTGGAGATGGACACCTCAAAGCTGATTTAGACTAAACAATGACATAACTCCAACAGGGAGAAAGGTTTTTTTTTCCTTGTATAACAGGATGATGCATTACTGGAACAGCTTCTTTCTGCTATCCCAGCTAACGGCTGTATTATGGTCTCCTCCCTGCAGGATGGAGAAATGTGGTCCTCTGTCAACTGCACCATTTGTGCTTGTGTGAAAGGCAAGACACAATGTCACAAGAAGCAGTGCATTCCAGTCAGCAGCTGCCCTCCTGTGAGTCTAACAAGAAGTGTATACTTTTTTCTTTCTTTCTCCTGTTCATAAACTGATGGGGCTTTTCAGGAGAAATCTTGGTAGGTGCAGTGCATGCAGGTTTCAGGAAAAGGAGAATCTCAGTGAGACTCCAGGTCTGTGATGAGCTAGAACAGGAGTATCTCAATATGTCTTCTAGTTCTGCTTTCCATTAAGCACTTCATTCCAGCCCTGTAACTTTTCCAGTCCCATTTTTGCATCAAGTTATGGATGTGGTGGCGCTGTGGGCTAAACCGCAGAAGCCTGTGCTGCAAGGTCAGAAGACCAAGCAGTCGTAAGATCGAATCCACCCGGCGGGGTGAGTGCCCGTCGCTTGTCCCAGCTCCCGCCAACCTAGTGGTTCGAAAGCATGCAAATGCAAGTAGATAAATAGGGACCACCTTGGTGGGAAAGTAACAGCGTTCCGTGTCTAAGTCACACTGGCCATGTGACCACGGAAGCTTGTCTTCGGACAAACGCTGGCTCTATGGCTTGGAAACGGGGATGAGCACCGCCCCCTAAAGTCGAACACGACTGGACAAAAATTGTCAAGGGGAACCTTTACCTATGGTTTTCTTCTTCGTCTTCTCTGCTTGATTTCTTTCTTGTGCTTGCTGTCATGTTATGGTCAGCTCTTCCATTTAGACAGGATGACGCAGCTCCCTCAGGCAGTAGATTTGAGGTATGATGAAAACTCACCCAATTGTTAGGTACTAAATTTATCATTATTGTATTTTTATTAGCAGAGACAGCAAGAGGCACTTGTGCTATTTGCTGCCTCTTGCCCCAGAATATCTTGTTTAGACATGAGTATAATGGATTCCATCTTGAGTGGGGGCAGGAGATATTTGCTGCTTCACCTGAGGCATGCATTGTGCCATAAGCCCACCAATTTACTTAGTAAGTCTTTGTAAAAACTTTGGCATGAAGAGTACTTCCAAATGATGCTCTGCCTCATTCACAGAATTTAAAAGAGGTCCAGATCATGTGGTCTCCCATTTGTAACTGTTTCCCACTACAGCTTCTCTGGCCTCTCTCCCCACCCCCACCCCATTGCAAAACATTGCTAAGAAGGGAAAGGCTATGTAGCTTCTGGTAACAGTGGAGGAAAAGAGTCATGAACAGATGTATGTTGTCTTAATTATTGGCTAAATCATACATGCCAAAGTACTGTTGCATTTCTTAAAGACTAATGTCTTTCAATTTGTGCTTGGTGTGCATTTCCACGGAGAGTGTAAAATTACTGGATCTTTTGTACACAACTGCTATGCTTAATCTACTTTACATCTGCGTGAATGAAATTTCTACTCCCTTTTTTTCTAAGCTCAAGGGAAGTGACAATTTATATAAAATCTATACATAACAATATAAAAATATAAACATTGTTAATTCCTCCACTCCACTAATTTCCGCTCTTTTAGAGATACCATAGTTGCAGAACTCACAGGTCTACGTTACAGGCTTTTTCCAACATATGAAGATGTACAAAAATGAACCTGATTTATACACATCTGTGCAGAACAAGTTGTAGTTGCTATCATGTGGGTGAATAAGGTTCTATGTTGAGGAAACTAAAAGAAAAAGAGAAAATAATAGATCTGAGTAGAGATGGGCATGAACTGGGGAAGAGGTGGCTTGTGGGGGTTTGTGGTTCATTGCTATTAATAAACTTTGAACTTTCTGATGAAATGAGCTATTTCATGGCTTGTGTGATTTGGGACTCCTTGGGATGGTAGAACAGCTCCCACATGGGTTACAGATGCCAGACTCACAGTGAATCTTCAGATGACTTGTCTCCTGTTTGAAGAGTACTTTCCTGGGGGGGGGGATCTGCTTTGGGGGCCTATAACCTGGACATCTCAAATCCACTCTTCACCAAACCTAGAGGGTGTGGGGAAGAGAGCCAGCCAAGAGTCATTTCAGGTGTAGCAAAGAATGGATTTGGGATATCTGAGTTATAGTGTACAGTACATATGAATCACCAATGCCTATAATAATTTGGTATTTTGTTTAATTCTGGGGAGGCATGTTTCCCTAAAGCGCCCTGAAATGAACCACAAACAGCCTGTTTCATAGGTGTTTTTTTTTTCTTTGTGGTTTGTTTTGTGCCTATCTCTATATCTGAGTATGGACTTATCATTCAGTTAGTTCAAAATAGAGTAATGAAATCATATTGGATTAGGATTTGGGATCCCTTTAGAAACTTCACATAAACACTTTTCTGGTGTTCTGCCTTACAAGAATTGTGAAAGTATAGTATTATGCATCCCTTATGTGGATTTTTATTATATTGCAGGACCCATCGTCCTAAAGTTAATACATTCTATTTGGTGCTCATCAAAGAAGGGTGTGGTTTAACAAAAAAATAAATAAAATAACCAGGCTGTTTCACAGTATATCCGTGGGAGTTCTTTAAAATCATGCACCATAAAAGCATCCTGTCATCAGCCAGAGTGTATTCTACTCATCTGAAACAGCCTCGTATTACTTCTCCACAAAAATAACTTCCTGTTGACTTTGAGTTGAGACTGCTTAAGTAATCTAATACTGGTCTTCATGGGGGTGGAATGAAGCTATAACATTACATTTGAATGCATTAGGTACTGAAAAACAAGTAAGAGGTTGTTTATATAAGAAATGTATTAACATTCTATTAATCTATTTGATGTTAATGGAAAATGCACAAGATATGTCCCAGTGATAATGTCTAGTGTTCTAGGTTGTCTGTGCTTTGTTGCCAAGCCAGCATGGTCCTACTGAAATACCAGCATTTTTTTTTTAAAAAAATTAGCAGTTAGCAGTTTGTGATTGCTACAGACACTCAGTGGTAGCTGAGCGTATGTGTCTCAGGTTACTTTCCTTTGATAATACTAAGTCTGATAGTTCTGTTGTTGTGCAGTGTTAGGAAGGGGATAACAAAATGCTGCAGTAAGAGCTGTAGCTATTCCATTCTCTTTTGCTCTTTTTTCACCAACTATTAAGTAGCTAGCATTCTGCACTCACTGATCCTGCTTAGTCTTCATTGAACTGTTTTGACCCCACCCCTCAAACATACTTTGTTCTTTTGAAAGCCTTTCCTCTGTAGGTTGATGCTTCAGGGAATACTTGGCTAATTTTTACCACTCATGCATGGATGGTGCCATTTTAGCTACATAAGGATTGGTGCTCATGTAGCATTACATTCCTGTTTTTTTGTATTATGATGCTGTATCCAGGCTATTAACTTTGATGATAACAAGTTTTTTAGAGTGATTAGTGACACATAGACCTTGATGCCCCCCCCCAGCCATGTTCTCTGAGAAGGACCAGATCAGATGCTTTCCATACAGAAGTTTCCTGGTGCAGTTCAGTAAGGACTGAAAAGAATTCCTGTCTGAAACCTTAGCTAGCTGCTGTCAATCTTTACAAGCAATATTGGTCTAAATGGACAATTGTTTTGATAGAATAAAAGGCAGTTTGTTT